CATCGCTACAATAATCTGTCTGACCACCTCGCACATCATTGCAATCATCACCAGGCATCACAAGCAGCAACATCACCTTGTACCTTGCCGGTCGCGGTTGTGGACTTACCCTCAACTCTTATGGTCACGATGACGCTAGCCCTGCTGATGCTGACGACGGTTGTGCTGGTGATACTGATAACTATGAAGTCTGTGCGACTGATGTTGTGGCTGTCCAGCGCCTTCTAAGTAAAGCGTGTGCGCGCACACACACATAACCGTTATGGCCACTGGGCTGGCATGACTGCAACGATGGCTAGTGCTCTGCTCCTTTGTTGTTGTCGTTGTTGTTGTTGTCGTTGTTGTTGTTGTGACAAAACACCTCCTTGCATAGTGGAGTCACAGGAAGTCACGGGGGCATGCCACGAGAATACGAGTCGAGTATGTCTCTCGGACGGCATTACACAAGGCTTCTGAAGTTACAGAGTTCTCGGCAAGTACAGCTGCTGCAGAGCCCACTTCAGAGTGTTCAAGCTTTGCCCGATGGGTGGCGATTGCCGTGTTGGGCTTGAAAAGCTTGTACTGAGATCAATCCTATACCCGAAATCCTGAGAAACCCGGAATGGGTGGTGAGAGGGCATGCCTTCTTCATGGCCGCGACATTCTCTCGTCGCTCCTGTTTGAGCTTGGCATCCAGGTTTAGGGCTTCGGAGGGCTTTAGGTTTGGGGGTCTTTTGCAGGATCTTCTCCTCCTCGCCAGGTTCAGGAATCTTTGGAAAGCGGCTAGAGGTTCTGGGCTACCCTCAGATACCCTCCAGACCCTCCTCCTACATCTCAAACCCGAAAGCCCCAGAACCCGAAACTTGAAAAGCCCTCCACCCTAAACCCGAATCCCTAATCCTTGCTCTTGTTCATGCCGCGATCTTTCTTCTGCTTCTTCGTCGGGGGCTCCGTGGTGGTGCCCTCCTTTGCAACAGATAGGACTGGGGGGGATTCGGGTCCCGGGCTTCTGGAGGCTTTTAGCTTGGAGTGATGTACTGTTGATGATACAAATCTTGCATTACCTTAAGGGCCCAAAACTATGGGAATACTGGTAGATATTCCTTATTCTGGGGAAGGCAGCATTCGCATCATCAACGGTGGGGGCAGGGATTGAGGGTTGAGAGAAATGGGCTTCTAGGGCCTTGGGACCTGGCAGAAAAGGTTTGTAGGGCTTCGGGTTCAGGGATTAGTAGGCCGATTGGGGATAAGGGAAAGGGTAATTAGAGCTTGTGGGGTTTGGGTGGAAGAGGAAGACGACGGAGCTTGGGATTGAGATTCAGGGCTTCGGGCTGACCAGGGTTTAGGGTTTGGGGCTTATGGTGCAGGGTTTGGCAGCGCTCAGAGAACACGGATGATCTTGTTGCAAGCCGGGGATTGTTCCAAACTAGCGTTCGCTCTACGGGACGGTTTTTCCCCAGACGCAAACTGAGGCTCGTCGTGGAAATTATCGGCCAAGTGCACCCTGCAAAGGCCCATCGGGCCTTTGACCCTGAACCGATGGTCGCAAAACCGTACCTGCACATGGGGTCCCCGACAAAGCTAGCTAAAACGGACCCGAAACCCTAAAACCAAAAACCCTGTAAACCTCTACAGCCCCCCAACCTGACTGTACCTGGGGTCCAAAACAGTACAGTTCAAGGGCCTATACCCTAGGTTTATATATGGGGTCATAACCCACTATTTTGTAGGTGCAGGTAAGCAGTGAATCATGCGGTGTCCTGGGACCTAAAGAGGTGCCGAGCGACTGTAGTGGCAGTTGCCTCCTGGGTCTTTGGTATCAGGAAGTCTGGGTGAATGGGCGCCTGAGCCGGAAACAGCTTTTTGACTGCCCCGAACCTTCAGCACTAAAATCTAAACCCTAAAGCCTAAACCCTAAACACTAAACCCTAAACACTAAACCCTAAACACTATACCCTAAACACTAAGCCCTAACACTAAACTGTCACTAAACCCTAAACCCTGAACACTAAACCCTAAACACTAAACCCTAAACAACAAACCCCAAGAAGCTGTTCGATCTCGGGCGTTGGCTGGCTCCAGGGTCTGAGGTCTTTCGCTCCAACTTCGCGACCATGAACCCCGAAAACCAAAACCGAAGCCTCAAATCCGAAACCCGAAATCTCAAATCCAAAACCCCAAAACCTCAACCCTAAGGCTCATATCCAGAACTCTAACCCGCAAATCCTATTCCCGAAATCCTACCTAAACCCCGAACCCGAAACCAAACATCCCTAAACCGTAAATCCTAAAACCTGACTAATTCCAGCCAAATGTAACTAAACCCTGTATGGCACTGTATGGCCTAGCTGGTCCCTGTGAACCTACCTTTATACAGTTCCTTCATATGGCTTTCTTATGACAGCCCATAAAAAAGCAAGTGATTTGGGGTTGAGGTAGGAAAGACCCCAGAGCCTAAACCACCCGAGCTTCAAACAAAAACCGTAGACAAGTTGTTCAGACATCTTGCAATCTGCAGAAAACAGTGTTTAGGGTTTAGTTTAGTCTCACATCCGAAGCATCACGCTATTCCTCTGGTCTTCATTGTAGTTCCTGTTTTGGGTTACCTTATAGGACCGTCAAGATGACTAGATAACTACACTGGCGACTGTAGCTTTTTGGCACCCTGTGGCCCTACACCCTGGGCTGACATTGGTTATCAAGTCCTGTGGGATATGGCTCTCCAGACAGACAGGTGAGGGACCTCGCAGCGAGCGACAGCCGCATCGATGCGCTGACGCCGGGCATCTTCCTCACCCTCTGCCATGGCTGAGGAGGATCTCTTCTAAAAGGTCTCGGAAGACTTAGGTACAACTATCCCCTGTCTCGTCAATGTACCATGCTACTCATTGCACCGTTCCCGGGGCTACAGTTCCCTGAGTGTCCGGGGTGTGAGTTTCGCTTAGGTCGGGGGCTTGTAGAATAAGGCTTTATCAATGTATACGGTTCATGAGGAATGTATACGACGGGATAAAGCTTTTTAGGTCGGGAAACCAGAACGGCGAACTACTCTTCAGAACTGTGTTTCACCCTGGGGTTTGGCTGAGTCGTGACAGGTCAGGAGCTTGGCATGCTTGATTTGCTTTGAATGCTCAGGCAAGCGAGACATCGTGCATCCGTATATATATATATATATATATGCAAAAAATGGCTTGCACGAATACTATACATGTTTTGTATGTATGTATGTATGTATGTGAGCTTTGCTTTAGGTGTTCGCACCGGGAGCTCTTGCTCTTTACTGCTCCAGGGGATGCAATGCAGCCACATGCCGGGGCCAACTGAGTCCTGTCCCCTCATTTTCGTTCGCAGAGACAGACTTTGCAGCGTGGCAGTATGTATGTATGTACGTATGTATGTGTGTGTTGTGATCACAGTGTGTATTTGTGTACGTGTACGTGTGCATGTGTGTATGAGTGTATGTGTGTCTGCATGTATGTATACATGTACGTATATGTATGTATTTATACAAGTATGCATGTATGTATGTACGTATGTGTATCTATATGTATATATCTGTATATATATATATATATATGTATATATATATATATATATATACATATGTGTGTGTGTGTTTATGTGTACATGTTTATGCATGTATGCATGTATGTACGTGCGTAGGTACATGTATGTATATGTAAGTATATGTATATGCATGTATAAATGTATGTATACATGTATGTGTACATGCATATAAAATGTATGTATAAATGTATGCATATGTACGTATACATGTATGTATGTATGTATGTATGTATGTATGGATGTATGTATGTGTGCATGTATGTATGTATTATGTATGTATGTATGTATGTATGTCTGTCTGTATGTATGTACGTATGTATGTATGTATGTATGTGTGTTTATGTGTACATGTGGGTGCAGGCGCACATGTATGTCATGTGTTCGTACATGTATATGTATTACATACGAACACGTGGCGCTTGACATAATGGATATATATTGGCTCATATGCATTCAATCTCGACATCCCGATCCTGAGCGACAGCATGCATACGTACGACCAGGTTCCATACAGTCATACATACATGATAAACAAGTACATACATACGTAGATACAGGGCGATGCACGATAAGCTTGCATGGGAGACCACGAACATCTGGCAGTTTTCCGCAGCCAGGATCTCAACGTTCTCAAGAACGTATATATTCAGGCCCCTAAATATAGTAATTATTAGAGGCTCGGCAGCACTTTTGCGCCGCTCCAGGAAGTAAAGCCGTGACTCCCAAAACCCTGTCCTGCAACTGAGCCATACAGTTCCATACAAGACTATGCTGGCTATATACATGCAACCTCATACTGCACTGTTCATGCAGCACTGCTCATGTATCGCCGTCACCGTACAGTTTGTGATGGAGCAGTTTTGGCCAGGGATTAGGTTTGGACTCAAGCTCGGCTGTAAAAAATCGCATGTGATGACAAGCCAGCAGAATTAAGATTCGCGTGCCCCAGGAAACCCTGCTTAAACTCTAAACCCTACAGCCCAGTCTGAAAACACAACATGTGCCAAAGGCTTCTCATGCGCAACAGCCTCGCCGAAACTCTGCAGCGGGAATCTGTCTCATCAGTCGAGACCCGACGAGTAAAGCCTAAAACACTGCTTGAGATGATGCTGGGATGCCGAAGGTGCCCGAAGAAGGAATTCTCGATTTAGTTTTTACATTGTAATATAAGTGTCCTATATACTGTTATTATATTGGTAGTTCTCACTCTCTTGGGCTTGCAACATGCATCCTCAAGGATGCAGCAGCACTTCAGCTGCATCCTGGGCGGGTTGTTCTGAAGTATGGCCCACTTCGCGGGTTCCAGAACAGTCCACAAGAGCAAACGGTAGATAGTCTTGTGGAATTTGGATGTAGATTCTGAACGACATCTCATTCTCATTAGGGAAATGTTGCTGGAGCGGGTTTAGGGTCGCGGGAGTTTGGCGTCTCGAGCGGATTTGTGAGTCAAACCATCAACCGCATCGAAAAGGCTGAGACCAGAAAAAGGCGTCCGACAAACGTAGCTCTGGCGGGATCGGCTCAGGGCAGATGCCGAAAACAAAGCCGGCACCCAAGGGCAGCCACAGCAAGCTCGTGGAGACGCAGAAAGAGATCTGCATCGGGGCTTGGCAATGGATCCACGGGAGCCGCCGAGCCCCATGCAGCCGCAGTGGTGGTAGATGCTCCTGCACGCCTCGGGAATCCTTGCACATCACCTGTTTCGGGTGGAAAGGATGCAACTCCGCGTACAAGTGCTTCATGCCTGTCTGCCATGGATCCAGAGGCAAGATGCGCAGCAATACGACCGCATCTTCAAGCAGTTCCATGAATAGGACTGCGGCATAGAGAGCCAAGGTTTGGGGGTTGAACAAAGGTTCACCGCTGAAGCCGACCAGCCGAAATGCCACGTAGGAGATGTAGGGGATGAAGCGAAAGTAGCCACAAACAACACGCCCGTGACGGTGGATCATGCTGCAGCAGCCCGGTCGCACCCACTTGTGCATGTGCTCTGGTAGGACTCGACAAAAAAGACTGACGTGGTATCCGTGCCGAACTGCTACATTGGTGCTCAACATGATGAGTAGACCTGAGCTGCTCGCATGGATCGACACTTAAGGCGTTTGAGTTTCGGGTTTAGGGCTTAGGGTCCAAACAAGAATGCCCAACAAGGCCCAGGAGCTGACGATCCACTGCCAGTTCCAGCCTTCACTCTGGGCAGCAGCGCTAAGGAGACTGGTTAGGCGCGTGCTTTCGGCGACTGCATGCGTAAAAGCAATCCTTGGGAGGCAACTAAGCACAGTCCAGCTGGAGTTTCCAAAGGCTCTTCTTTCATCCAAGACTCAAGACAGTGATGGCTGTATTCTGGTCGGCCAGCACGACAAGCAGCTGATCGGCAAATGCACGCGGCCACACGAGACGTAGATAGACGTTCTCCATAAAAGACACGGCCAGCAACTCGGAAGCTGCAGTAGCGAGGCTCAGAACGACTGCCGACAGGATCGTGCTGACGCTGTCCAAGTACATGTAAAGGACGATGACGCTCCACTGGGAAACTGCCACAACCATGTTCATAGAAAGAAGCACACCGGTCCACAGCGCCTGTCCTTTGTTGTTCTTGCTCTTGCCAGCATTGTATGGTGATATGCGAGCAGAACGACTCAGCAAGGTGCTCACGATCAGCTGTGCCACTGACGATAATTCGAAGCCAATCACAGCGTGTACGAAATACTGCAGTTTCCACTCCCTCAAACCAAGAACCCACACCAGCATCCAGAGATACCAGACGAGAAAGCTCACAAGACAACCTACGACAGTTGATTTGCAACCCTGCTGGAAACCGAGCAAACAATCCGCCAGATGGTGCGACCAAATCTGTCCGGACAGTGCCTGCAGGTGGGGGAATAGCCACCACCAGGCAACATCTCCGGGTTGGACGTGCCGGTCGTAGTTGTGGACAAGTAAGTAGCAACAAAAGTTCATAAGCAAGTAATACGCACTGCCAGCGGCGATGCTCACCAGACCACCTCCGTCACAATACATTTGTGGAAATGCCTCTTCTTGTTGCACGTGCACATCGACTGTCTCGATCCATCCCTCACTCCCTGATCCTGGTCTTAGTGGCGGCAGAACAGCAGCCACTGGACCGACCAGCAGAACGGCACCTGACGGGTCTTCTGTGTATCAATCCTACCCTAAACCCCTAAACCCTAAACCCTAAACCCTAATTGAATTTTGCTGTGACTAAGAGGAAAAACCCGCAACAAGCGAAGTCAATCTTTAGCATGGCGGAGACCGTCCGTGAATCCCAAACTCCTTAAAAAGGATCTATAGGGTTCCTTAAAGGGATCCATGGGGTTTAGGGTTTAGGGTCTACTTAAAGGATCATGGGACTTGGAAACTAGGGTTATAATCAGGGCAACTATGCTAAAATCTACTGATAACCCCAATTCAGGTACTTATAACACTTATAACCTTACTTACTAAGTCCTACGACACTCCAAGTTGACTCGCTCAATTGCCAGGAAACGCGGAAAGGACGCGTTAAGGTCGAGGGTTTGGAAGGTTTCGGGATTAGGGGTTTAAGGGGTTTAGGGTTCAAGGCTACACCAGAAAAATAAAAAAAGCACCGGCGACTCCGGCGACACCAGAAAAAAAACAAACACACACACTCACACACATGTGATGCCCCCTCCTCACCTGACAGCTCCCATGACACCGCATCGTGAAGCAACACGCGCACACCAACCAAGTCCTGGCCCTCCAAGACGAGCTGGTAGGATTCATGTTGAGCAAGAGCCACGACGTCTGGGCCGGTTCGCATGAAGCCGTAGTCAGCACTTCCATATCGACGCCGCAACGCTCGAACCTCAGGGCAGCTGTTTTCGAGCGCTGGCGGCTGCCATCGGAAGGTCGCCGCGTCGAAAAGTACCTGGTCATACCTGGACTCGGCCGACTTGAGCTCACTTGGGAGTGGCGAGCTCGGTGGACGGTCTGTCCAGAGGAGGCATGCCCTGCCCCCGGCACCCAACCTTCTTTGCAGAAGCCTCTCAGCTTCCGGGCCAGAGCCGACGATGATGAGGCTCACATCCAGAAGCCTCCAAGCAGTGGCCCTCTGAGGTTTCGGAGTTGGCACTGCTGAAGTCCAGTGCTCTGACATGTCAGACGCTCATGGCTGGCAACTAGACTCACACTGCCAGGCTGCTAGACACGGTGGTAATCCAGAATTTATTGCATTTCCTCGCCCTGGTCTTGGATTTGTACAAGAAGCTTTTGAACATGGAGCGCTATTCAAAGTCGGAACATTGCTGAAGTACGGCTTGGCCACATACAGTTGAGATCTGCCAGTGCTCAGCCAAACCAAGGCCTCACATGAACTGGCTGTGACATCAACGGCAGCGGCATATGTGCAGGGACCGAACACATAAACAAGTTGAGCTAGGAGACCGAGGTCTACTTGAAGGCTCATGGCTGCTTGCAAGCATTGGCATACCGGCTGCGAGCCCCAAGGTGCGGAATCTTATAAACCCTGCATCCTAAACCCCACGCACAGCCTTTCGACAACGCTTTTCCGACTCAAAGGCAGCGACGACCGGGTCCTAGGTCGAGGACGGTGAGGGATGGGGGGGGGGAGGGGAATGCCATAAATGCCATATGGGGTTTCCTTCCGAAAATAGGGGATTATAAGGACCCCAAATAAGGTACCCCTAATGTTCGGAAACTCCCACATTGATAGTGGCTCGAAAAGTTTGACAAGGGCTTGGGGGATACCACCCAGGTGTTGTGGGAGGGAGCATGAGGAATCCTATTACTCACTGTTCGAAACGGCCTATTGCAGGGACCCGGAGCCCTCAACCGAAATCAAGAAGCGCCGAGCGGCTGTAGTGGCAGTTGCCTCCTGGGCCTTTGGTGACGGTATCAGGAAGTCTGGGTGGATGGGCGCCTGAGCCGGAAACTGCTTTTTATGACTGCCCCAAACCCTAAGAACTAAACCCTAAACCCTGAATCCCCAAACCCCTAGAAGCTGTTTGATCTCGAGCGTTGGCGTTGATGGCTCCAGGGTCTGTGGTCTTTCGGCCTGACCCCTACACCACCAAAAACAACCTAAACCCTAAATCCGAAACCCTAGGCCTCAAATCTAAAACCATGAACCTGAGCCACAATCCTCAACCCCAAGCCTAAATCCCCAAACTTACCCTAAAGCCCAAAGCCTCAAATCCCACACCCTAACTCCTAAACCCCAAGCCCTGAGCCTAAACCCTAAATTCCTAAGTCCTGGACCCTGAACCCCAAACTCCGGCATATAGGATTCTGGCTGAGAAACCCCGGGTGGTTGCTCGAGTTCTTGATATCAACTCAAAACTTTGGGGGATATAGGGCCAGGGCTTCTTGATCAGGTTCCTACCACCCTTGTCCATTTAGAAATAATTGACAGAGCCCTATACCTATATCCCTTAGTAGGAATTATTTAAGAAGGTCCGCTAGCCGGTCTGTTAATTCCTTTTGGGAACCATGAAAAATGACAAGGTTGGTTCCTACATCAGGGTTGACCTTACAGGCTCTACCAGGACCCTGTGAAACCTGAAATCGGGATGCTGCCAGGCTTATGACCACTGTGTTTAAGTCCATACCAACAGTGTTTCTCGGCCCTAGTAGCTTATGCTATTCCTATGTTTGAAGCTCTAAAGACTCGTAGTTTAAGGCTTTTGGGCCCAAAGACCATACTATATAAGGCTTTTGGGCTTGGGCTATTTTGAGCCTTAGGGTATAGTCTCCATTGTAGCCCCTTCCTGGGTCACCTTTGAGGATCACAAATATACGTAACTGTGATGGTGACTGTAGTTTTTTTTTTTTGCACCCTACGGCCCTGCACCCTGGACTGATGTTGGTGCTCACATCCTGAACCCCAAACCTAAACCCCAAACCGATATGGGCAGCTCCCGCATATACTATTGTAGGGCCTAAAACCTAATCCAAATTTAGAGGAGAAGTATCCATATGGGAGTGGGGTCCCTAAAAAACCCTACTATTTGGGGTACTATTAGGATCCCCTATATTCGGAACTCCCAAAAGATTCTCCAGACTCTAGATAGGTGAAGGACCTCGCAGCGAGCGACAGCCGCATCGACGCGCTGACGCAGGGCCTCGTCCTCACCCGCTGCTGCCATGGCTGAAAGGGGTTTAGGGTTTAGGGTTTAGGGGTCGCAAGAAGTAGTGCAAGTATCCCCTTTCTAGTTCCTGTAATTACGATGCTACTCATGACACTATCCCTGGGGCAGCAGCTCCTCGAGTGTCACGGGTGCGTGCTTCGTTCAAGGCTTTGAAAGGGTCCGGAGATCAGAACGGCTCAATACTCGACTCTTCAGAAAAATGAGTTTCGCTTTGCGGTTTCTGGCTGATCCTGCCGATGCCAGCTCATCAACTCAAGCTTGAAACATGGAGAATCTAGATTTGTTTTGTCCATGGCTCCGGACACAAATGCAGGAATCTAGATGATTCTGGACTTGTGCCAGGCTTCACGGGTTGGAATTCCTTAACATCGCTAAGAAAAGAAAAGATCTGTACACCCCAGGCAGCACGCTCTGAGAACGTTTCCAGTCCTTACAGCTGAGCGGCCGCACCCGGACTGTTCCTGTCGACCTCAACAAGGACTGCTAGGCAGCTGCCAGGCAAAGACAACGCAGGCAAATGGCGCATCTTGGATCTCAAGGGGCACTGTACACATCTGCCCCTTGCCTTTTAACATGCATGCTCTCGGGTATACCCGCATTCATTACCAATAAAGACAAAGCCCGATGTCAGCGATGCCCAGACGATCACTGTGAGCAGGGGCCCGAAGGCAAGATCGAATGCATACACTTTTTGGCAGCTCTCAACTTCCACATGCTGTGGCTCAAGGCTTTTGACCATGTCCTTTGACATTTTGCTCGACATGCATACGAACATCATGTCGTCCAGTTTGAGAAGGAAGTTCATGGCCACGCAATTGAAGATAAGGTCTTGATTGTTCTCGGAGTTCACGATCACAAAGCTCCCCATGTAAGTGAGCCATACCGCAATGAGGAATTTGCACAGGATGAGTAGTGCGCCAACAAGGCTCTCCCACCAACGCACGCGCCGCGTAATGGCAGGCAGCTGGATCGTGGACTTTTTCTCATTTACGTTGTACTCTACTTTATTAGCAACGCACATCCACACGAGCATGGACCATGTCTCCCAGCCTTCTTGTAGCATCTCTGCAATCCAAAATCCAACCGCGAATAATTGAAGCTTGATACAAATGCCATGGCAGGCTTCAATCTCATGGTGCACAATCCCACGCAAGAGGTAGTCCGGCACGTACACTTGTGCGACCATGGCGAACAAACACACCACCACTTCCATCAGAACAGGCCAGATAACTCTGTTAGCATTTAAAGTCCCGGAAAGGAAGCCATGCCGGCATTCAGCACAAGCACTCTGGAATGAAAGAAATGTGGACGTATAAGTGCAGGCTGGCAAGGTGAGTGTCCAGGGCACTCGCACAGGTTGGAAAATCTCGAAGTCATGGCTAGACGACATTGTTGAAGTTGACACGTCAGCAGCGCCAGGAGGAAGTGACATTGACGGAACGTCGCAGCTGGTGAGTCTTGTGCTCGCTCTGCCCAGGTCGCCACAATCGAGCAAATCTACAGCCAGATTCAGCGCGAGCTGGATTCAGCCACCCTCTCACACGTCTGCGAGAACCGGAATGTTTAATTACGACATCATCAGGAGAAGCACAAGTTCGACGATTACAGAGAAGACAGAAGAATCGGCATAAGAGGATCTTGAATTGAAAGGCACAGACAGGCATTGGGGAGTCTCTCTCTGTCTCTCTCTCACACACTTGGGCTCTCCTTCGCTAGTCACATCCAGTCACTGCATACGTGCGAATCCTCAGCTAGAAACTGCCGAAACCACTGCGACAAAGTAGATCACAGATCATGGTGCCGGTTGCTGGAATGCGGTACCGGGCAGAAGACCTTGCATCTGCACACTAAGCACCCGACTACAATTCGCAAGAATAAGACACAGGCTCCGAAGGGTAAAATCCGTGTGGAACACACAATAGCCCTCGTGACTCACTGACACATATGGAGCCCTTCCTCTTGCGGGCATGTCTTTTTCAATGGGCGCTACACCCTTACATGTGTGGCTCATGATCATGAGGGCAGATTCTGGGCAACAAAGGCCTCGGATCACAAGACCCTCCGGCATCAATTCAGCAAGCTTGCACGACGTGTAGTCTGCAATGTCTTGCAACTGTGCTCTAGTTAATCATAACATCGCTTTACAAGTGCCTATACAAGCATTCGGCTGGGCAGTCTGTGTTAACACCGCCCAAACTTCGAAAGCTGTAGGCCAAGCTCATGGCAACTGCGAGAGCTCGGCAGCTATGCTTGCTGTCAGCGCGCTGGCCTGGCATCGTCTTCTCACGGATGGACCTGGGTAGCGGTGATCTTGCACTCACCACGGCCGCGAACGCCCTTCACCTTCTTGCCCTCCGCCTCCACCTTGACACAGGCCTTCACCGGCACCTTCACGGGAACTGGAACACCTTCGACATCCTGGAGTTCATCCACGGTGTAGGGCTCGTGGCAGCACGTCCTGCGACCACGGCAATGGAGGTCCTGTACGGAGACCCGCCGGGCGTCCAGCATGAAACCCGGGTCGGCAGTGACACAGACTTCTGTGGAGCAGACATGGGTCCTCCAGCCCGTGATGGTGTAGTCCGATGCACCACTGGTGCAGCCTCCGGTGTTGGACCGGGTGGCCTCCACAGCGCCACTCCGCAGCGACTTTGTCGTGTTCACGCTCTCCGAGTTGCCTGCCCAGTTGCAAGAGCAAGCAGCTTCCTCGGCACCGCAGAGCTGGCTGAGATTGCCTGTGTCAGCAAGAACGTTGCCCAGCAGGGAGCCCGCCACGAGGAGCTTTGAAAGCCGGACCATGGCTCAGGAGTGCACGGGAGGGCACGGGAGGGCCCGCAAAGCACGTTCCGAGGCACTGACAGCTTCAGACAAGAACCAAAGTAGATCACAGATCATGGTGCCGGTTGCTGGAATGCAGTACCGGGCAGAAGGCCCTGCATCTGCACATCAAGCACCCCACCGCAGGCTCTGAAGGGCAAAATCCCTGTGGAACACACAATAGCCCTCGTGACTCACTGACACCTATGGACGCCGGTTTTTTCGGGCATGTCTTTGTCAATGGGCGCTACATGTGTGACTCATGGTCATGAGGGCAGATTCTGGGCAACAAAGGCCTCGGATCACAAGACCCTCCGGCATCAATTCAGCAAGCTTGCCCGACGTGTAGTCTGCAATGTCTTGCAACTGTGCTCTGGTTAATCATAACATCGCTTTACAAGTGTCTATACAAGCATTCGGCTGGGCAGTCTGTGTTAACACCGCCCAAACTTCGAAAGCTGTAGGCCAAGCTCATGGCAACTGCGAGAGCTCGGCAGCTATGCTTGCTGTCAGCGCGCTGGCCTGGCATCGTCTTCTCACGGATGGACCTGGGTAGCGGTGATCTTGCACTCACCACGGCCGCGAACGCCCTTCACCTTCTTGCCCTCCGCCTCCACCTTGACACAGGCCTTCACCGGCACCTTCACGGGAACTGGAACACCTTCGACATCCTGGAGTTCATCCACGGTGTAGGGCTCGTGGCAGCACGTCCTGCGACCACGGCAATGGAGGTCCTGTACGGAGACCCGCCGGGCGTCCAGCATGAAACCCGGGTCGGCAGTGACACAGACTTCTGTGGAGCAGACATGGGTCCTCCAGCCCGTGATGGTGTAGTCCGATGCACCACTGGTGCAGCCTCCGGTGTTGGACCGGGTGGCCTCCACAGCGCCACTCCGCAGCGACTTTGTCGTGTTCACGCTCTCCGAGTTGCCTGCCCAGTTGCAAGAGCAAGCAGCTTCCTCGGCACCGCAGAGCTGGCTGAGATTGCCTGTGTCAGCAAGAACGTTGCCCAGCAGGGAGCCCGCCACGAGGAGCTTTGAAAGCCGGACCATGGCTCAGGAGTGCACGGGAGGGCACGGGAGGGCCTGCAAAGCACGTTCCGAGGCACTGACAGCTTCAGACAAGAACCAAAGTAGATCACAGATCATGGTGCCGGTTGCTGGAATGCAGTACCGGGCAGAAGGCCCTGCATCTGCACATCAAGCACCCCACCGCAGGCTCTGAAGGGCAAAATCCCTGTGGAACACACAATAGCCCTCGTGACTCACTGACACCTATGGACGCCGGCTTTTTCGGGCATGTCTTTGTCAATGGGCGCTACATGTGTGACTCATGGTCATGAGGGCAGATTCTGGGCAACAAAGGCCTCGGATCACAAGACCCTCCGGCATCAATTCAGCAAGCTTGCCCGACGTGTAGTCTGCAATGTCTTGCAACTGTGCTCTGGTTAATCATAACATCGCTTTACAAGTGTCTATACAAGCATTCGGCTGGGCAGTCTGTGTTAACACCGCCCAAACTTCGAAAGCTGTAGGCCAAGCTCATGGCAACTGCGAGAGCTCGGCAGCTATGCTTGCTGTCAGCGCACTGGCCTGGCATCATCTTCTCACGGATGGACCTGGGTAGCGGTGATCTTGCACTCACCACGGCCGCGAACGCCCTTCACCCTCTTGCCCTCCGCCTCCACCTTGACACAGGCCTTCACCGGCACCTTCACGGGAACTGGAACACCTTCGACATCCTGGAGTTCATCCACGGTGTAGGGCTCGTGGCAGCACGTCCTGCGACCACGGCAATGGAGGTCCTGTACGGAGACCTGCCGGGCGTCCAGCATGAAACCCGGGTCGGCAGTGACACAGACTTCTGTGGAGCAGACATGGGTCCTCCAGCCCGTGATGGTGTAGTCCGATGCACCACTGGTGCAGCCTCCGGTGTTGGACCGGGTGGCCTCCACAGCGCCACTCCGCAGCGACTTTGTCGTGTTCACGCTCTCCGAGTTGCCTGCCCAGTTGCAAGAGCAAGCAGCTTCCTCGGCACCGCAGAGCTGGCTGAGATTGCCTGTGTCAGCAAGAACGTTGCCCAGCAGGGAGCCCGCCACGAGGAGCTTTGAAAGCCGGACCATGGCTCAGGAGTGCACGGGAGGGCACGGGAGGGCCTGCAAAGCGCGTTCCGAGGCACTGACAGCTTCAATGTGATGGTCGGTTGCTAGAGTGTGGCGCCAGGCAGGCCTGAACATCGGTTGCGAAAACCTAAACCCTATGTGTACATATATATATATATATATATATATATACACATACATATATGTATATATATATACACATATACATATATGTATATGCTTCTAGTTCAAAACACCTGGAAGCTTTTCTCCGCAGAGCCCCCGAATCGCAATCGACTCAAAGCTTTGCCGCCGACATCGGTGGGCTCCTGCTTCGGCTTTAGGGTTCCTCTAAGCTGTTCCTTCAAAGTGGGTCTATAAGGTTCCATGAGGGTTCTATGACTAAGGTTCCTTGAAGGGGATCTATAAAAACTCGACGAGGGTTCTATATGAGATTTTAGGGAATCGGGGTTCAAAAATTCCTTTACAGGTTCCTTAGAGTGACTGTTGAAGGGTCTTAAAGGAGTCTTTGATGAGCCCGCAAGGGTACTAAAAGGGTTTAGGGTCTTCGGTTATAGGGATGTGCGGACTTCGGGAGTTAGAGAGTTTCGGGGCACTGTCACGAAAGCGATGCCCGAAACATCCAAATGCTTCGTTTTGCAAGGCTTATGTTGGGTTTTGGTGAAGGGGTTTGGGGTTTTAAGTAAGCTTCCCAACTGGAAGTCACTTCACTTCACAACCACACTTGGGAAAATTCGCACGACCCCTGCCGGTCCTCCGCATCCATTCCCCGAAGCTCTTGTGGAGCCTCTCTGCCGCAGCTTCAGATCTGCCCTCTGGTTGTTGGTTATGATATACCTTTAGTCTCCATCAGTAGCTACTTTTTGGGCATTAACCATATTTCGTAGTTAGGATCCTAAAAAGGTGACCCAAAAAAGGAACCACAGTGGAGACCACCAGTAGGTAAGACTCAACTACAGTTCCGGGCTCAGGGCGGGCGAGAAGGACACACCTAGAGCCTCCACCTACCCGCGCTTGGACCCTACTTGGAGGTTCATGGCTAGTGATAACTGGGGTTATAAGTCCCCTAATATGAGTTAAAAGTATAGTTACCCTACTTATAACCCCACTTATAGCTAGCCTAAACCTATAAGGCCATACAGAATACTATAGGACCTTTAAAGGAACCCCTATAACCCCAGTTATAGCTAGCCATGAACCTCCAAGTATTGAAGCGCACCCAGCAAGTGCTGGCAATCCTTGAGCCTCCCCCTGCCCTTAGGTGGAGATGGGGAGCAGGCTCTTACAACTCTGCAGTATCTACTTGAAGGATCATGGGACTTAGTAGGGAAACTACACTATTATAACTACTTATAACCTCAATTAAGATACTTATAACCTTACTTGCTAAGTCCCATGATCCTCCAAGTAGAGGCTCATACCCGACCCCTTTTTGGGGCGCCTACATTTTAAGGCAACAGATCCTAACCATAACACTGGGTATCCTAACAAAAGGGTTGGGTATGAGCCTCTAGGTAGTTCGTCTTTTAAACCCTAAACCCTGAATCGTGGAGATTAAGATGATGGGTTTTGGGGGAGCCCTACGTCCACGCACAAATCCCATCCGGAAGGCCCGTATGCGCCTTAAACACTAAACCATGAACCCTCAAGCACTCTCATATAGCCTTGCGCCTCAACCAATCTGAAGCCCAATACACGCCGCCCAATACACGCCAACGCTGAACTACACCCAGCCAGAATCCGGCCCCAAACCCCAGAAGCTGTACCGAAACTCGAAACCCCAAACCCTAAGGGGAACTCCAGAAAGTTGGAATATGGAATAATGGCAGGATCCCCTATAATTTACCTTAAAGGGCTTATGATAATGATTTTCCAACTTTCCGGCTTCTACTGTACAGCCTGAATCCGAAACCTTCTGAAGGCCCAAAACTTCCGCTCGCCTCCCCATGCCGGCCAACCACCGGTCGTAGTCTGAGGCCTTCCGCTGGTAGTACTTCAGAACCTGCAGATGTAACTAATTTTAGCACAGTATAGTATGGTATTGTATAGTATAGTATAGTGGACATAATGTGCAACCATGCAATGATGGGAGAACCTGCTGTGGGCTTCTTATGTGCCCAGGAACCTAGACCGAGAAGAACTCACGAATAACTTTTGACATTTGTTAAGGGGTTATAGTACCCCAAAACGGTTGAAGGCTACCGACTCTACTGCTGAGGCCTGCTCCCTTCATCGAAGACCATCTCGGGGGGAGGTTCGAGTACACTTCGTACTTCGTCCGGCGCATCCACTTTGCGCGGGCGTGATGTGTAGGGGCATCTACAATCTAAACTCTTCTGAAGCGACCCCGGAGCCAACGCCTTTTGTTCTTGCGGTGCAGGAGTTCAGGAAGTACGAACATTACTCACTGACTGGGAGTCTTCCTCAAATCACGAAACTGAAAAGGAACTGACAACAACTGCGCCGCCTCCCCATGGGGAAGGATGAGGAACTTCCCATCTTGCATAGCCCTCACAACATCCTGGCCCAGGTGCAGCTGTGTTGGTTCCACTCTTCAGGGATCTCGAACCCTAAACCCTAAACCCTAAACTCTAAACCCTAAACCCTAAACTCTAAACCGTACCTCGTTGTCTTGGGGCTCGAGCCATGCGAGCCCACCGAAAGCTGATGGCTGAAGCAGGGCGGGGAAGGCGTAAGTCACCGCATTATTTGCTATAGATCCCTATTATAGTAACTTAAAGTTCCTTAACAAGAGCCCATATTATTATAGATCCCCCGCAGTCTCATTGTAGGTCGACAAGTTTAATGGGGCTTTCGTAGAGTCGAAGATTCCAACCCCCCCCCGAAACAAGTGCCCGAA